TTGTCCTTTTGGACCTCTAGACAACCAACAATGAAGTGACCAGGCTTCTTACAGTTGAAGCATCCCTTATGATTATCTTTCTTTTCTCCAGAGCTTGATCTTCTAAAGCCATTGCTTATACCAAAGAATCTTTTGTTCTTCATGGCCAGATACTTGAACCTTTTGGTTATGAAAGCCATTTCTTCATCATCAGAATCTTCTTTAGAAGTTCTTGCATGAGCTACTTCTTGAGATTCCCATATTTTAGAAGACTTGGCGGGTTGACCAACATATTTCAAAGCAAGATACTTTGATTTCTTGGCAGATTCATCTCCATTGAGCTCAATCTCATGACTATGGAGATTACTCATTAAGCTTTCAAGACTTATAGTGTTTAAGTCTTTGGTTTTATGAATGGGCGTCACCTTTGGTATTTATCTGATAGGAATACTTCTAAGAATCTTCTTGACATGATCAGAAGTTGTATAACTATTGTTCAGAACTTGAAGTTTAGATATAGGAACTTGAAACCTTGGGAACATGGTTCCAATGTCTTCATATTCCTTCATTCTGAAAAGTTTATACTATTGAATCAGAAGGTTAGACTTTGTTTCTTTTACTTACTAATTGCCTTCATAGGTAGCAACCAATGGTTCAAAGATGGTTTTAGTAGTAGTTTTGTCAATAATCTTGATGTACTCCGAATGAGGTAGATCATATACCAAAATGCCTATAACTATGTGATGTTTCCTATAAGTATTCTTTTGAGTAGGTGTGAGAGTTTTTTTTTGTCAGTTACCATTCCTACTCCATTAATAGGAATACAAATGCCATCTTCAAGAATGTCCCACAACTCACCATCAAGACATATGATGTGTGTGTACATATTACTCTTCAACCATTCAAACATTATAGAGTCTCCATTGAAGGTCAAAGGTCTAGCTGTATAGTTATTATTTTCAAAAGTACTATAATCGTAGTTTATAGCAGCATTGTTTTTAGGACCACCAGAGGTTTTAGACATATCAATTACATTTTTCTCTTAGGATCTTTGTGTGTACCACAATAAAGTTTTAAAAGCATATACCGTTTTCTAATGCCAACTAAAGGTAAGAAAAATACATGAATGGGGGATGTTGAATTGTGTTAGCTTTCTCATTCTTTTCTGAAAATCTCTTATCAGATTTTGAACACAAGGTCTAAAATCTAAATCAGAGCTAAGTGTTTAGCAAGGGAATAAAATAGTCATAGGTAAAAAGGAAAGAAAGAGAGACACAAACAATTATAATGGTTCCTCCCACAAATTGAGAGTAATCTAATCCCATTGCACTTCCAAGGTATTTTCTCTATAATCAAAACTAATAACAAATGCTCAAGCGCAAAGCAAGAGACTTCAAATGCTCAAACACATAAGTACGAGACTTTTATGCTCAAACACACAAGTAAGATACTTCCAATGCTCAAACACACGGGTAAGAGACTTCTTTGCTTAAGCACACAAGCAAGAGACTTCAAATTCTCAAGTACTTATCAAGAGATTTCTTAAACTCTAACTTACATTTAAAAGATTGTGAAAAACTACATTTTTTATACAATCAGAGGTGTAGACAAAATAAAACACATAACTACTTTTTAAGACTTAAGAATTTCTAGAATATACAAGTGTTAAAAAATTATAATTTAAACTTGTGTTTTTTATTTAACAGAGAAACAACTCATTGAATACCAATAACTCAATATGTTTCTTCAAGTCTTCATCTCCATATATAGAGATAAAGAAAAGAGTCGTTGAAAAGTTTTCACAAGAGAGTCTTTGAGAAGCTTAATTTAGAGACATTTAGATGTTTCTTGATATGGTTAATACCGTTGAAAGGTAATTTGAAATCCCTTTTCTATAAAAAGGAATTATACATTGCATCTCATCCATCTTCTGCAGATTTTTGTTTAAGTCTTCACGTGATTAGAAGAAGACAAAATTTCCTTTGAATCTCATCATTCCTTGTGTTGACTGGATCTTCAGAGCCTGAATCTTCAGAGGCTGATGCTTCAGAGTCTGGATCTTCAGAGGCTGACGCCATTCAGAGGTTGACGTCATTTAGAGTCTGGTCTTCAGATTTTCTTCTTCCAGAATTTAGATATTTAGTTTCTCTTTGAATGTCCATTCTCAGTACGAGTATTAGGTTTCCTTTAGAAATTTTAGTTTATGGTTCTGCATAGTGTAACGCCCTTTTTCTACAACACAAATATTATGGCAAAATAATCGGATTTATCAGAGTAAAAAATTGAACGCAATAAAATCATCTCAAAAGATCGTACATTTCTCAATAAATTCAAATCAAAGTCAATGCTTCGTAAACAACGGGTTTCCCCAAAATTACTCAAATGGTAGCGGAAATCAAAAAGGCAAAAATCCAAAGTTTTCTTTGAGCAGCAAGGAAATCAACATAACAAAAACTCAATAAAATATTGTTTAACTCAAAGACCCCAACCCGACGTTACACCATCAGAGCAAGACCCTCTAAGTCAACCATAATGGCCAACGACCCAAAAACTTCAAAAAGTCCTCCACGACATCCACGGCTAAACATGGTCATCTGCACGTTACCCACGTGGAGACAACATTCAAACAGGCAGTGTGAGTAAAACGATTCATAATAATCAATATAAGAATCAATATATAAAATAGAGTCATTTTCATATTCAACATCATCATAATCATCAAGGAACATCAAAGGCCACAACATTATAAATTACACCAAATTGTCACATAAATGCAAATGCAACAAGACTCATGCATGTGGTACCAATCAACAAAATTCGATGGACACTAGGCCATCAACCCTCCATAGATCCACAACAGTAGGATCGATTCTACACGAGAACCATAGCACAATAAAATACCTCACATCCACACAATGGGACTGAAGCCACAAGAATCAAGGTCCTAAACTGAAGTCCGGAATGCATATGAATGCATGACGCACACGTCAATATCATCCTAATAATAAAATCATTAGGTGCATCATCATTCATCAAAATCATCATAATAATCATGTCGTCATGGAATCATCAAAACCTCATGAAATCAACGTTACAAATTATCACAGTTCCTCATGGGAATTCATCATGCAATCATGTATTAATCTCATAAGAATCACAATTATACTCATGGGTACTCATCATACGGTCATGTATTAATCACATAGGAATCACAGCTATACTCATAATAGTTTATCATACATTCATTTACTCACATAGGAATTACAGTTATACTCATAGTAATTCATCATACCTTCATTTAATCACATAGGAATCACAGTTATACTCATAGTAATTCATCAGGAAAATCACAGCATCAGAACATCAAGACATTACTGAACTAGAACATAATTCGCGAAACTCTGCTACGTTCGCTAGCAAGTTCGCCGTGCGAGTCTGGGGCGAATGTTCGTCGTGCGAACTCATGATTACAACAAATCGCTGTTACGCACCAACACCAAATCTCAGAAGAATCATAGTCATACTCATGGTAATTCATCAAAGAAATCACAACATCAAAACATCAAGACATCACTACACAAGATCAGAATTCACGAAACTCTGCTACGTTCGCTAGCAAGTTCGCTGTGCGAGTCTGGGGCGAACGTTCGCTGTTTGGAGCATCATTCACTATGCGAACTCACGATTACAGCAACTCGTTGTTTGCACACTTGAATATTTGTTAGTATACCCTATTGTTCTTTAAATACTTTGTTATTATTAAAACCTTGGAGATATGGTACAAAATAATTTTGTTCCAACAATATTTGCAAACATCGTTTGAAGGGAGGTAGCGTCTCTTCCATAGGAAGAAGAAATGTGGGATAAGGCATATCTTGGATAATGGGAAAGTCATGATAGTTATTGACTCACATATTTCTTGGAAATTGGAATTCAACAGTCCACCCTTAGACTGGACAGACGGCGTCCTTTTCCAAGAAAGCCCCGAGAATCAGAAATCTCTATAAATTCCACATCTCACAAAAGGATCAGGACCAAGTCATATTCACTCAAAATACCATCGAATACTACTCTTGAGAGCAATTCGCTCACAATAGTCATAACACCGATAATTTAATTGCCCGCTTGCAACCTAGCATCACCGACCTCCAACAGGGTCTCTCGCCACATGTGAATTAGTCCTTTAAACAGCCTCAAAAACCAACATACAAGACTACTCGCTACAGTAAATTAGTCATCGCCTCAATCGTGAAATATACCTACTAGTGCCTCTGAACCTCTCTACCCTCGCAGGGAGACACACACCTTTTTGAACAATACAACTTACAAAAAAGAGGAATTCACACTCTTAAATTGAATAATTTGATTTTTTTTTTAAAACAATGAAAATATAAAAATAGTTATTATTTTTATAAATACGCTGTTCATAATTAACATTTTATTAAATTTTAAACTAAAAAATTGAAAAATGAACCCGTATTATTAAATCTTTGACTCTTGCCATTTTAAGAATTAAAATTCTACCTCTTTTAGAATAATACTAACTTTTTTTCTTAGGTCAAATACTAACTCCCTTCTTTTGGAGCGCGAATATGCTAACTCCCTTTATAAAAAAAACAATTAAAAAAAAATATTATTCCTTTCTTGTTCATATAATAATAGGAAAAACTAAAAAGTTGTTGTAAAAAAAAATATTATTCCTTTCTTGTTCATACAATAATAGGAAAAACTAAAAAGTTGTTGTAAAATAAAATAAAAATAAAATAAAAACTAAAAAGTTATGACAGTAAATGATTTTGAAAATACCAGATAATCGTGGGGTGTTCGGATTTCGCCACTGTTAAAATGCCACGTCAGTACTATTCCTTTCACACGCTGTCATTTACCAAAATAGCCTTCTACAACCAAAACTTCGAAACCCGATAAAATGGATCTGACCAATAAAAAGGGTCCGTTCCATTTCATTTCTACTGAACAAAATCACAAAGCCGAATTTGCAGCGATTTTCATAGCAATCAAAAATGGTGCATTCGTTCAAGTATATCATCGTTGGAGGAGGAGTTTCAGCTGTTAGTTTAATCACTTTTGATTTTCACTTTTCGAATTTTGAGTTGTGTTTTCTATATGAGAATCGATCTTCATAATTCTAGCGTAGATCCTTGCGAATTTTTAATCTGAATTAGTGAATAGGTTTTAGAGTTAAGCGAATTTAGTTGATGTTTTGTGATAATACTGGTCAAGGAATTGGAATAGGTTAAAGATGAATTGTATTTCGTTGTGAAAACTGTGATGATCGTTATGAGAAATTATACTTAGCTTTTGTACTGTGTGAATTTGGAGTTTGGATTGAATAATTTAGTGTTTTTTTTTTTTTGAAATTGCAGGGTTATGCAGCAAGAGAGTTTGTGAAACAAGGAGTTAGGCCTGGGGAGCTTGCAATTATATCTAAAGAAGCGGTAAATGGTTCTTATGAACGCTACTTTGCATCATGTTTAAGCTGCGTGTTTTGCTTTTTCATTTATTTGGTTACAGTGGAGCAGCTTGTTACGAGTTTGCCATCCATTTCTGTAGTTTTTAATTTATCTATTTCTAATTTATAATTAATATACATTTAGGGTCTGTTTGGATAAATAACTTATTTGCAGCTTATAGCACACGCTTATCAAAATAAGCGCATAGGAATAAGTTTACATAAATTACTTTTTATAACAAAAGATAAAATAAATTTAAGTTGTGTTTTTATATGCTATAAGTTGTTTGTTTTTATAAACTATTCCGAGAACTTATAAAAAATAATCTAAAAAATACAATGAAAAATGTTATAAGTTGTTTTGATCATTTCTCTCAAATTGTGTCACAAAACTTATGCCAATAGATAAACCAAATAAACCAATCCAAACAGGCCCTTAGTCTCTCACTATTAAAGAGAAATCCTTTGTGGAATTGTAGGGACCCTCCTCTCTCTAGACTTTTGTTTTCTGGGTAAATATTAGTCCTTGAAATTTAGTTCTTGAAAATGTAAAATATTTACTCCACAAGTATTGATTATGTGTCCAATATCAAATGATCAATGTGATAGACATGATTTTTTGCATTACTAGGAATTGAAGTTCTTCTGCAAATTTTTTATCTTTTGAAATTTTTACCACTTATTTATCTGTTGAGCTCTGTGCAGTTATTATTTTGCTGCAAATTCCTTTACCTGTCCTTCCCTTGTGCAGGTTGCACCTTATGAACGTCCTGCTCTGAGCAAGGCTTACCTTTTTCCAGAGTGTAAGTTTGTTATGCTATTATGTGTAATATATTTCACTCTCCTTTAATTTATTCCCATTCTGTTATGGGCTAGTCTTGATATCAATAATGCTGTAGTATTGTTTATCTGATTGCATTTCTTAAAATTTACTTTTTAATTAAATTTAGTAATAGCAACAAGTCACAGAGGGTTAGTATTTTTGGGGTCAAAACGACTGAAATAGGAGAGGTGAATCAAATTCAAGCTGGGTGGTTGAAATGGAGGAAGACCTCGGGTGTTTCATGTGATAAAATGCATTGCTCAAATTGAAGGAATTTTATCATACAACTGTAAGAGTAAGACCGATAGTGTTGTATTGTATGAGACAAAGTGTCAGACAGGAAAAAAAACGGACACAAGAATAAAATAAGCGTAGAAGATATGTAAATGTTGCATTTGATGTATAGAAAGACTAGACAAGATACAATCATGAATGACAACATTGGAGGGAGAATTCGGGTAACACATTGAAGAAAAAACAGTGGAAATTAGGCTTAGGTGGTTTGAGCATGTGGAGAGAAGACCCAAAAATTCTGTTGTTTGGAGAGTAAGTCAGATGGAGGGTAGTCAAATTCCTAAAAGCAGAGGAAAACCTATCAAGACTATAAGAGAAGGCTATGAGTTGGATAGAGATATGATATATAATATGACCCAATATTATGGCTTTGTTTAATTTGATCCATGTAGCTGACCTTACTCAGTGGGATAAGACTTGGTTGTGTTGTTGTTGTATTGATGGCTATGTTTATTTGTTTTTGTTGTTAATCCTTAGTTGTTATCTTTGATGAATGTTCCATTGAAGTTTCAGTAGCAGCTTGCACTGCTTGTCTCTCAATGTTTAACTTAATGTTAATTGGAATTTTGCAGCTCCTGCTAGGCTTCCAGGGTTCCATACCTGTGTCGGAAGTGGGGGAGAAAGATTGCTTCCAGAGTGGTACAGTGAGAAAGGTGACTTTGGTTTTCAACCCATCATTTTAATTCGGCATTATAACTGGATTGTTTTCAGAACAATTATCGGGTTACTGTGTCAAGTTAAAGGAAGAGATAAGTAAATATAAGAATGGTCATTAACAATGGTTATCTGATACTGAATTGCAAATTAAACTGATGATTGCAGGGATACAGTTGTATCTCAGTACAGAAATTGTAAGTGCAGACCTTGCTGCAAAATTTCTGAAAAGTGCAAAAGGAGAACACTTCGATTTCCAGACATTGGTTATCGCAACAGGCTCAGCTGTAAGGCTTCTTGTTAATATTATAGATGTTACACACTGCGTGTACATATTTCACATCCGTTTAGTGCAAACTAATATTAATACTAATAATTTTGTTTCGCAGGTTATAAGGTTGTCAGATTTCGGTGTAGAAGGAGCTGGTGCCAAAAATATATTTTACTTGAGGGAGGTTGATGATGCTGACCAATTGTACGAGGCAATCAAAGCAAAGAAGAATGGAAAAGCTGTGGTTGTCGGAGGAGGATACATTGGTCTGGAGTTGAGTGCAGTTTTGAAACTCAATAATGTTGATGTTACCATGGTCTACCCAGAACCTTGGTGTAGTAAGTGGACATTTTAAAATGTTTCTTGTTACATCTCTCACTCACATTTATCTGTGCATACTAAACTTTTAAACTAATCTTTTTAAAACCAATATTGCAGTGCCAAGACTTTTTACTTCTGAAATTGCTGCTTTCTATGAGGGATATTATGCCAATAAAGGTATCAATATCATTAAAGGGACAGTTGCTGTTGGATTCACTTCCAACTCCGATGGAGAGGTATGGTTGCATGTGATCTTGGAATACTGTCATGTAATGGTGTTTTAAAATTCTTAATCAAATTTAACTTGACTTTCATGCATCTGTCAGGTAAAAGAAGTCAAACTAAAGGATGGCAGGGTCCTGGAAGCAGATATTGTTGTTGTTGGTGTTGGAGGAAGGCCTCTAATATCCTTATTCAAAGGGCAGGTTGATGAGCATAATGGTGGAATCAAGGTTAGTGATTCCATATCCAGAGGCTTGTATCAAGCTTTAGTAAACCCTTTAAGTTGTGATTAATTAATCTTAATATCGATATCAATCAATGATAGCATTTGTTGTGGTTGCAGACTGATTCCTTCTTCAAAACAAGTGTTCCTGATGTATATGCCGTTGGTGATGTTGCTACCTTCCCTTTGAAATTGTACAATGACGTGAGAAGAGTTGAACACGTTGATCATGCTCGCAAATCAGCTGAGCAGGCTGCAAAGGTAATCAACTTCCCTACAGATTTATGCTTCTCCAATTATGCACAACACATGTATCATTTTCCTTGATGTACCCCCTTGGTCCGCACCTAGTTTTGAAATCACTTTGGTTCCTCATTTTGTTATAATATTTTTCATACAGGCCATCATTGCAGCAGATGCAGGAAAATCAGTTGAAGAGTATGATTACCTTCCATACTTCTATTCCCGTGCATTTGATCTGTCTTGGCAATTCTATGGTGACAATGTTGGCGAGACAGTGCTATTTGGAGACAACGATCCCGCATCATCAAAGCCTAACTTTGGTACATACTGGATTAAAGAAGGGAAAGTTGTTGGGGCCTTTTTGGAGGGTGGAACTCCTGATGAGAACAAAGCTATTGCCAAAGTTGCAAGAGTCATGCCTGCAGTGGCGGATGTGAATCAACTTGCAAAGGAAGGCATTTCTTTTGCCAGTAAAATTTGATGATATATTTGGGAAGGATAAATTGCTTGGTGATTCCACAGAACATATTCGAATTGGCTTCTTTTTACTATAGGTTATATCTTAGTGAACTTATATTGTGTTTCTTTGTTTTATACATGATTGCGTGGGATATGCTTTACCTGTGTACTGAACCAAAAAATAAAACCCCTTAGAAATAAGGCCTTATTAGCATTTGGTTTGCATATTGTTTTCTAATTCTGGTTTCCATTGCAATTTTTATTTTATTTTAGTCAATCGTTGCTTTGTCTACAATTTTTAGTTGACAATAATCTGTGACTGTGATGCACACACATATAAGTTATAATATTAGTATTCTTTTTGATTTATACGAGTCCAAATAGATTTTATATGTTACTGATGCAATTTAAATGGATTTTTTTTATAATTTCAATTTGTTTAAACAAAATTAATATTTAAAGATGTTGTATTTTAGAGGCATGTCACGATAAAGTTTGACAAAAAGGTAAAACACGAGGAACAAATATGGGCAGATAGTTGACTCGAAAGATATACCAATTACAAAATTATTTCTTGCTTCGATAGTGGTGTTCATGCATCTTTGTAAAAAAATAAAAACTGTTCTATAATATAAAAATATATTTTCAAACGTACAAAATATCCACGCTATCTATTCGCAAATGAATTACACTTTTATTTTACTAAAAATTAATACGAATATGTATTCCCATAAAACTTTTCTCTAAGCAAAACATTTTTATTTGTGCGCAAGAATCTTCAGATCCAGCATTTTCAACTTTGCTTTATTTATGACTCCTCAAGTTAAATCAAGAGTTTTATCGATCACTGCTAAAATTTATTCATTCTAAAAACTTCTACTTCTCACATTTGATAAGTCCTTTTATTTTTCTTTCTTTTATTCATTTATCAAGCATACATTACTAAATAGATATATTAAATTGTTTAAGATACATTACTAAATATATAGTTGCCCTCAAAGATAGATAGTTTATTGAGCCGTGTTTTCTACCATTTTTACATATTTGTTTCAGTTTACTATATAGGTTATTGTCTTAGGGAATTTATACTGCGTTTCTTCGTTTTATATATATGATTGTGTGGGATATGCTTTACCCTGTGTGTACTGAATAAAAAAAATAAAACTCCTTAGAAAAAAGTCCTTACTAGCATTTGATTTGCATATTGTTTCCTAATTATGGTTTTCATTGCATTTTTTAACTTCCAGTCTATCATTGATTTGTCTACAATTTAATAAATAATAATCTCTCTCGGAAAAAGTATTTATAGAAATTCTTTGGAGTTAGGATTTAGGTCATTCTGTCGCATCACAAAAAATAAGATCATTTATAAAGCGCGTCGCATGTTTGCAGAAAAATGATTCAAACATAGTTATCACCGAACTTTATTTATTTTAAAAGAGGAAAGAAAAAATATCGATAAAACTCTTAAAAGAAGAAAAAAAAGATGGTCGTCATAACCATATTTAGATCGGGAGTCGATTACGCAAGGAAAATGTATTAGCACCCCTCACGTCTGTTGTACTCAACAGAAATTTTTATGTTAAATTTGCAATTGAATGTTAACTATCGTTATTTGTTTTCTTTAAGTGACAAATGTGCAAAAGAAAAAGAAAGGGCTCGCAAAAATATTTTTATTAGGATGCTTGACGAGATTGAGGGTCTTGCTCCTACATATCCTCATGTACAATTAGTAATTCAAAGCTACGTAGTTATATGCAGAAAACTACGCCTTGGTTGGTTGTTTTTTACGAGTGTCGCTTTAGACATTTCATGTGATTAAACATTTGTTTGTTGCTCTCTCTTGGAGACTGAAGCCTTTGCTTGTTTGACGTCGAAATGGATAAAGCAAACTCATTTCTAAAAAGAAAGTTTTAATCGGTTGATTTGTTTTATCGGACAAGTGTTTAGATCATATTTTAACGGTTAAACATTGACTTGCACGCTCGCGATGGAGGATAAAACGCTAGTTTACATACACGTTAGGACGAACTAAATAATATCCTTTTGAAAAAAAAGTTCCGGTCGCATGGGGCCAAGAAAAAGAGTTCGATGTGTTGGAGTTTTTTAAATAAAATGACGAGGGCTTGGTGAGAACAAGATGTGGGACTTAGAATCAATTACTTAGGATTCACTGAAATGATAGACTCCAATGAATCTTTTTTATTCAATGTATTTATGAAAAATGTTTGATGGACAACATACATTCAATAAGAACAAGGGTGCATTCCGAAATTGGTTATTTAAAGATTATACTTGAACGCTAGACTCCAACGACCCCTCTTTTATCCAAGTTAATATTAAGTGTTTTAGAAATGAAAGAATGAACAAACGACTAACCCAAGACGTGCGTCTCAAGACTGATCATTCGAGAATTCAAGAAATGCGGAATTTCAAAGATTCTCTTTATTTTTCATTTGCTAAGAAAAGATTTTAAATATTTATCCAGAAAAAAATTTGATTCGGATTGATAATAATTTAATCGAATTAAAAATGAATTAGTTGGTATTGAAACAAGTATATAAAAAAAGACTTGTTTATTTATCATTATTAATAATCATCTACTTATTTAATTAATTGTAATATTCTAAAAAAAACTAAACAAAATAAAGATAAAAAATTATGTTGATAAAATAATAATTTATATTATATTATATTATATTATATTATTATTATTATTATTATTATTATTATTATTATTATTATTATTAAATAAACAATCAAACAAATATAAAATAAATAAGTAAAACTCCAAATCAGACTAGGGTGTGAAAACAAATGGGGTGAAGCCCCAAGGAAACAAACCATAAGGGGTTCAGAAGGGTCCAAAGTAAGGTCAGTTCTGACTTTTTAGAGACCTAGAGCAAATATTAAAATTGAGTCTCTAACAAAAAAAATTGAGCAATTAATTAACAAATTTAGTTATAAATAATACTAATATTGCTAATTTTATAATATACTATTATAAAATAAATCTGATAATATATTTTTTTATAAAAAAGTCATCAATAATTTGAATTAAGTTTGTTTACCGCTTTCTCATTTTTTCGGTATTAGGAGAGTGGAAGTTATTAGGAGTAATTATATAAAGATAAGTTTTTTAGTTGTTGATAGGACTACATAAGTCCAAGTTAGCAATCAATTGATTTCATATTTTTCAGTGAGTTTGGATTGTGTGATTAAGATATCTCTTACACAATTATTAAGAAATATTTTAGCTGAAATTTAACTCATGCAATTTTTTATTTATTTAATTTTTTCATGTAGAATTCATTTAGTTATTGAGTTTTTGTCATGTCTAATAACTATTAGATCAACATAATTGGAGGTCATGTTTCCCTAATAATAAGGAACACAAACTCCTATATCTTTGAGTTTATTGCTGCTCCAAAGAGGGTGTGTTGTTGCTATGTGTTTATTGTGAAAATTGGTAAACAGAATAAGTTTCTATTAACACTTAAGAGATCAAACTCGAAAATATTCCGAAACATATTTGTGTGCATTTATGACTTTGAACAATATTTTATTGTCGAAATCGAAGAGTAATACTTTGAAGAAGGTTTCGGTACCACTTTGAAACAAAACGCAAGAATATAAGTTTTTATAATATAGCTGAAATCAAAATGCATGACGAAGTAAAAGCATGAATTGTAAAGTGAAATCGAAAAGTAACTTAGGCAGAAAAAGTACTTGAAAGTAAAAAGACTTAAAATTTATAAATAATGGAGCATATACGTACATTTCCTCATTCGTTTCTCAAATGCGAAGATACTTTGAGTTTACATAAACATGAGTACAATTGTGGATCTTTTACAAAATGAACATGAGTCCCTTTATATACTACTCTAAAATAGCTACCTAAGAACAATCGACTAACCTTATCACGACACGTTTCAGTCTCATGCAGTGGTTTCTTCCGATGAGCCTCCACGTGTCTTTGAGTAACCGTCTATGTTAAACCAGTTCCCACTCTTTTAACACCATTCAAATATCTTAACTACTTTTACTGTCCATCAAGAACTGACTTCCTACGACGAATTTCTCTAGGTCGACCATGCTATGACAACACACTCTGTAGTACTTTCCACATGCAATGCCCAAGTTAAGATTGTTTCAACTGTAATGATGAACTTCAACCTTAGTCAATATAGCATAGTACTCAATTTCATTAAGTCTCTGAACTCTTCAGTGTCCTTCGACCTACCGCCTCTTTGATCAACATCACTGTGGGGGACCCCTGACCTTGATTCAACTTGATCTCCCTTACTTAGACTTCATTTTATCGTGACTTCCCACGTGACATATTTATTATTGTTCTATTAATACTTGCCACTTATAGTTAAGTAAAAAAAATCCAAGGTAACAAATTGCCCTACAAAAGGTCATGTTTTGATTTTGAATCAGACAAGAGAGACGTGAACTTTTTTATTGTATTTTTTGATGACGCTTCATTTCTGCTGACTTCATCGTCATTATTACCCCTTTTTATGCCGCATTGTCATTTTCCATGAGATCCGCTCAAAATTTCATCATTACTCCTACTTCCTATGAGGTTGTGGGTTTGCATGTCTGCCATAACTGCTCCCACTCACATCAATGTTGTGCTTTGAAAGCCCAAAAAAACGCTTCAATCACCCCCACGTAAACGCCACGTGTCTGATTAGTATATGTAATGAGGAGCTTATAAACACCTCTTTTCAGCTCCTTTGCTCTTCTTCCTCATTTCAACCTTTTCCATAGTTTCTATCTCACACAGAACAACAAATCCTTTCATTTTTCTTTAGAAAACGATATTTTCATCCATGGCTACCACTCGAACATTGCCCTCTAAATCCGACACTAGCAACAACCCATTGGATTTCAAAATACTTCCAAACGACGATGAGGACGTAAAAGACTACATTCCTGAGCCTCCAATGTCAAATGATAATATTTTCATATGGGAAAAACAGGTACTCATCCCTTATTCTTTGAATAAAAAAC